GAGTGATTGAACATACTTGACATAATGCCCTGAACTTTTGCAGAATGGAAATTATTAAGAGCATGTTTAGAGTTTAGTTAATTTCAGTAATTTGTGGCTTTCCAGTATCAATTCAGATTTTAAGGTTGCACTGACATTAGCCTGGGGGTTATATCAGGCGTACAGATGCATGATGTGAGGACAAATACATTTTTTTCCCAATGAACATAGTTTAATTTTTTGGTCATTATCAGGAACGTATTTGTTTCAAAGCACACCATGCTAGGAAATCTCATCCCTTAAAATTGGTGGTAGCAATTAGTTTTTGTAAAGCACATATACAATTTATTGTGGGTTTTATTATTATTTTTGACATCAATACAATTCACAAAACCCAATCTATATGCTTTAATCCTTTCTGACTGTACCAGCAACGCAAAGTATTACACACTTTAAAAAAACCCTAACTTGCCCTCCTGAAAAAAAATAATAATTGTGGAGCATCAGTAACCAGATAGTATTCTCAAATTTCAGTGATCTAGCCAGTGGAGCCTTCCCCCATGTACTGTGCTCTGTTTCATGTGGTACATGGTTTTAGCTGGCCAAATCTTTTCCCCCCCACTGAATCAGTAGAACAGTGAAGATCTTACTCTCCCTCTCTCTCTCTCTTTCTCGCTCTCCCTCTCTCTCTTTTAGCAGTGGCATATCAATGAGGCACAGATGTGTATTCCAACTCTGCATGGATGAGCACACTGTTCAATAGTGCTGGCTCACACGGTATCAGGGCAAGTTATCACTTCCCATGAAGGCACTCTTATCACCAGGGCCCAGAGAGGTGGCTGCAAATCGCAGCCTTTTTATTTTCAAGGCAGTTTTGCTGAACATTCAAGCTTCAAAGATTCACACTTCCAAAACTCTATAAGAGTTTGTGAACGCTCAATTTGCCAAAACTGTTTACAGTGTAATTGGGCACCGTACCTGTGTCCATGAGATAGCGAAGGCGCTTCTCCACCAGCGCGGCACGGGTGTCAATTTGCTTTTGCTCATTCTCTAGTGCTGCCAATTCTCCTACAACATACTGACTGGTGTCTTTGAACCCTTTCTGTTAAAGAGAACAAACAACAAGAAAAATACATCACTTGTTAAGTTGCATTTTTCCCTTCCAGAAACACTTAGTAAGGCACTTACCTAAATATCATCCTTGCTACCAAAACAGGAAACACAATTCATGATTCTCACCCTTTTGCCAAATTTTAATACAAGGCATGCTATATAATAAAAGATCATTCCTTAAAGGTTAGATTTCAACTTCAAACCTCTTCACTGACTTTTAAAATTCTATATAATTTTCTTTGGCTCCTGCTTTGCGATAAGTTTCCTACATGAGCTCAAAGAAGAATCCAAGTAAAGTATTTTTATAGCATAGTTATGAGAAGCATCTTTTCAACTGCAAGAGAGCCCAAAATATTATTTTATTCTACATAGCCACTGTGTTTTGATATAGATAATACAATATACCTTGGAAGAAAAACCAAAATTAGAAATGTTGAAAAACGATACATCGTTTAGAAACACCACTTTGTTTTTGTGGTTTTCTAATGATACCATCCTGGAAAGATAACACTAAAAACCTTTCCAGCTTGTTTTTTTTCTTTCGAGAAACATTTTTGGGTGCAGACAGATGAATGGCTAATTACTGCTATTAGAGTCTGCCCCCCCCCCCCGACTTCTAAGAATAGCGACAAAACTGATTTATAGTGCAACCTGTTCATCCCAAATTCACATGGACACAATTTTACATTGTCAAATTCTTCATATGATAAATGTTAACCAGAGTTTAACCAAAAAAGAGAGGCTGAAATAGAAAATGTAAATATTTAGGATTACTAATGTCAAACAATCAAGAAACCCAAATTCTTTTAAAGTTTTCATTTGTCCTAAAAATGTTGAATACTGCTAATGACGTCATATGGCTTAAATAAAAGTGTGGTTTTTCAATCTAGATAACCTATGCAGGCTCTTTTTCCGTTCATCATAACATACAATTCTGTGCTGGACCAGGGTTTAAGGAATCAGGGGATTTGAATGATGCTGCAGCTGAGTCCCTTCTTTGGCAGTGAAGAAGGGAGCTGAAGTGGGAAGGGAGACACACTTGCACAGAAGCCCCTGAGAGATTTACTTTGTAATCACCAATAAGTCTCTTTGCGGAGCCCAATCAAGACTCATCAAGTGAAGGTTAAAGCTCAGAAGCTCATTTTGGGAATTCAATTGTCTTCTGCAATCTAATCCAATCCAATTGTCTTTTCAAATGGAATGTGTCTGTACACATTACCTTTTGAGGAAAGGATAAAGGATATGGTGTCTCCTTACTGCTGCCTCACTTGTTGCTGGATTACATAGTTGCAGGACTAAATTATTCCACTACATTAATAGTGGCTGAATGAATTGGTATGGAATGGTGTTGCTGGAAACTGAGGTAAAGCTCGTTCAGTGGTAAATCTCCCTGAACCATTGCACAGTGTAGAAGTTTTAATATATAATATAGTAAGTGTTGGGTATCCATGGTTTATGGGATACGACCCAACCGCCATTCACTAAAACAAGCAGTAACACTTCGAAACAAAGCTTAATATGCTTGTCTCATTCCCTGATCTCTAAAATTAAATGCTGTTACGCACATGAAAGACGAACAAATGTGGGCGGAGCAATGCTAATGAAAGGCAACTACCATTATTTGTAGTTAATTGAAAGGAATACAAAACTTTGCCAATGCCAGCTCCCAGGACTCTACAGAACATTATTAGATTAAAAGGAATGCTATGTCAGGATGAAACATCCCAAGAGCTCCTATGTATAATTTGCATATATTATATTACAAACTTGCTGAGTAAGACCTCTTCAGCTCTGTCAAAGAACAACTGTTCTTAAATTAAAAAAAAAACTATCAGCTGGTAAATGTTAAGACAAGTGGGCATTTAGAATAATAATTAGGCAAGTTCACATTCTCTGGATGGTTTCTCAGCAATACCACATATAAGATAAATAGTGGACAGCATCAAACGGCTATTGTAAAAAAAAGCCTCCAGACAAAATAAGAAGAAAAAAGAAAAAAGAAGGAAAACAGAAATAAAACATATTCAGGTCAAAACTTGTTCTTCCTGCTTCTGTCCCGCAGCTGTCCATCAAAAGCTGCTTTCTCCCTGCGGTCTATCAAATATTTCCCTCACAAATCAATTTTACACATGATCAGCCCATACCCCTACTGAGCTGAACCTCCCCGTTAATTAAGTGAAGAAATTACCATATATATTATATTAATGCAAACATCATTCAGCTAGTAATTCACGGCTGATCTGGATAATGGAAAGGTTGAACACCCATTAACCCAAGCCAACAAAATGGGTTGGCTGAGAAATTCTAGCAGGTCTCATGTGACTTTTTCCTCTAACTGCAGCTCTGCGGTATCTGCTATTGTAATAATTAAAATCCTCCTGGTAGATCAATACTGGAATCTCTTTATGGGAAGTGCCCTGATGGAAATGTCTCAAGGAAACTGGAGCTGTGGAACTCTGAAAAATTCATTTTTTTATCTGACAATTATCACCACGCTGCAGACTAATTCAACAGCGCACCCCTCTCACTCTGCTTTGAATGCACTGGAGATTGACATCTAAGAAAACCTAACATCTCATTTTAACAAATAAAGGCACTATTTCCACATACAGTTGAGAATTATCAGCAATCGTGAAACCAGACAAAAAATTAATATACATTAAGCACTTCATCTTCTGATGGCTTCCTCTGAGTTTCAGTTATCGCTGCCTTCTCCTCATTTCCTCTCTTTGTATCTTCCTGTATTGATCTCTGCCTTTTCATCTCTTGAAAAAAAAAGAGAGGAAAGGCATGTAAAATTATTATAATACTTGATATTTGTGTATTGAAATGTGGACTTACATTATCTGGTTTTTAATATATTTATTGTTAAATATTATTAAATCATAGGATGGGGGAGGGTGCAGGGAGAGTTTTTTTTAGAAAATTTTTGCCTACCTGGTCTGTTTTCAACATATTGACTGAATGACTGAAGCTGAGTTTTTCTGACTGTAGAATCCTTGCTGAACACAACAGGATTTCTAAAACGTTCTGTTCCTTTTTGTAGCCTCTCAGCACGATGCTCTTCTGTTTCATTCTGCCATAAAATCAAAAAATGCACATCAAATCCATTCATTTATGAAAGTTATAAAAGGGAAAGATATCTTTCAGTAGGAACTTTTTGTTTATAAAAAGCCACACAGCTCAGCTCAGATAAAAATGATACCAGCAACCAGAATTTTAAAGAATATTTAGTAAAATTAAAAATTGGTAAGCTCAGGCAAGCTTCTACTACTACAGACTGGGATCAGTTAATATCTTTGGAAAAGCAGGATTCAAAAGAAGAGTACTCTTCTTTAACTGGGATTTGCAAGGCACAAGGCACTAATGCAAAAACCATGCAGCAGTGGGTGTATCTTTCAATATCATCAATATTTTTAAACAAGACAAGTTCTAACCTTTTGTTTACAGAGTTTGCCACAGTAAAGAATAGTAATCCTAAATGGATCCACAGACATGTAGGACAAAAACCCCATTTCTAATTTAATGCCCATTGAGATAAGCCACTAATGGTGGATGAGGAATAACGGGTAATTTTGCAAGACAACCACAACAACTACATTTCATCAGCTATAACTTTCCACATCTAGATTTGTAAGTCAGCCCTTTTCAGCCAAGAAAACAACAATTCCTGTTTTCCATAGCCTCCTATGTTAATACTGGTAACAAATTCAAATAGGTCTATCAACATGAAATATCCCAGAAGAATAGACCACTGTGGTGTGTGGAAACTGCAGATACCGAGGTGCTGTGTACCAAACAAATATTTCATTTTATACCTAATCTATTATTATTTTTATTAAGTGTTTTGAAAGTAAATAGGGAAAGGCTAAGATGCATGACTAATAGCTAAGCCTGCTGAATGCTGAAACTGGTTATCAAAAGCTACCAAGACTTTGCCCTTCCTCTGCATTGAGACAATTGGTAATGAGGGAGTTCTCCAATGGCCTATTCTCTAGCCTCAAGGAGGCCTGGGATACAGAATCCTCCAGGGAAGGTAACAGTTTATCCTTTTCCACAAATACAGAAAGCCTCATTTATAAACGTGTAAACTGCATTTTATTAAAAACACAAATCCAACTCCATGCTGAAAGCTCTAAGAGAACAGATGGGCACCACATATTCTCCCTTACAGCATTAAAATGTTTAGCTCGAGCTGCCCTTTTTGTGGCAAGAGCACAAAAAAAGCAAAAAGAAAATAAAACGGCCCCATTAATACCAAAGTGTATATTTAGAGCAGGAAGCAATGTTTCTGTCATCTCATCTGAATCAAACTGCTCTAATGGACAGCTATTTACTGAGTTAACTTTTAATTCCTTAAAGCGTCCCTCATGTTACAGTTGTTTTTCCAACCAAAAACTGCAAAGATTTGACTGCTCTAAGAAAATAATGCCTCCTGTCTCTTCATACAACAGCTATCTACAGATGAAACATAGGTCTTTACCAAAATAAACAAACATGGCTAATTTTTTAGGCCTGGCAACATGTTAAAATATCAGTGCGATTAGCGAGCAAATCCCATTTTAAGAAGCCTTTTTTATGACGAGGGACTTCTGCCACTTTACAAATGTATTCCTCTAAGCCCACTAATTCAGTTAGCCTTTTCAATCCATTGTATTATTCTGAGACCAGCTTCATTTTGCATTAAATCCACTGTAGAAAGCTAAATTGAACGCAAAAAATCAGACTTGATCCAAGCTTCCCTTTGTTCAAAGATAGAGACTGAAAGTCCTCTGCTGCTGCCACACACTTTCATCACCAATTTATCGGAACCGACAGTGTAAGGGAAAAAGCAATGAAAGTCATTGTTTTGGGACTTCAAAGCCTCTCTGTATCTGGGGAAGGAAATCCTTTCAGTCAGCAGCGTATATGCCCACCGCCTGCAGCAGGTGGGTGAAAAGTTACCCAAGAGTGGAGCTACCCCCACAGCCCTCGCAGTCTTTTCACTTAGGACTAATAGCCATGGACTAATGAAGACGATTAGCTGGAGGGTGTGTGTGTGTATACTTATATATATATCTCAAAATCTGTGTACATAGAGACAAAGACTGGACATGAGAAATAAGAAGACGGGCAACCCCCACCCCCAGTGTGGGAGTATTTTTTCGTTACCTAAGAAATATCAGACGCAAACATATCTTCCTAAACTTCTACCTCAAAATCATTGGGAAACTTTTTTTTTGTTCCATGCAATCGTCCAATTCCAAAGCAAAAGCAACCATTGTAGTGGTGAAAAGAAGCCTGAATGATGGCCTTGCTCTAGTTTATGTAAATGACTAAACTGGCTGCAGGGGGAGTAGGAGAAGGTGCCCCACTTCCTGTAACCTAATAATCCTGTTATTTAGGAAACTATGGTACAAATAAAAAGCATGAAAACAGTGCAGAGACACCACACACTTCCCATATGCTGAAGTCACATTTCTCAAAATGCAGGCAAATGTTATGATATAGTTGCACAGACATAAACAACACTTTTGAGCTGAACTTCATTGTAAAGCACACCATTCATTTTAAGTCTTTTCAAATCCAAAGGGTCATGACTGTTCCTGAATCACCTTGCCTGGGACAAAACACTTTGTTCAGAAACTTACCTTCAACTCTTGCACCATTCTGTCATCAAGGGCTTTCTGAGCAGCACTGGAAACTGAATTTGCCATCTGTGCCTGAGCTTCTAGGAGCTTCTTCAACTTCAGATCCACCAACTTGCTGTTCTGTTCAGCTAAATATGCAAATACCACAATACAGAAGGAGAGAGAGAGAGAGAAAGGGGAGGAAGAGAAACATGCATTTAGATGTAGAGGCCCTATAACAATGAATTACTCTAAGAGATTAAAAATACATTGCTCTAACTGTGATCTTTCAATTGGAAACTGAATACAGAACTTCCAGTTTTAAATGTGTTCTAGTACAGTAATAATTTGATTATTCTTTTGGGGGGAAAAAACTTTGTTTTAAAAAGTTGACTCTTGATGCCTGTCTCCTCATGCTTTTATGTGAACTTCACATATTATTAGGACCACAAAATGTTTTAGATGTAAACTTACTGATTTAGATGGAATGTAGGCCACATACACACAGATCCACTGTAGCTGTGAATCTGCCTCACAGCAGCCAAACACCACACAACGCTAATTCGGGATAACATTAGGCAAGGTTACTTTAAGGTTACCTTGCCTCGGGTTAGCCGAAGTCAGGGGGAAGTCCAAACTCAGAATTTGTACTTTCCCCCAATGTAGGGTTTATGGGGATGGTTTGACAGTTCCAATTGTCTTCATTGCCATCCTACAATTCCTGGGAAGAGGCGGCCCGGGGACATGGGATGGCAGCCTCCTTCTCCCTTATCCCCTGTATCAAGGTGCTCTCTGGCTGTGTCACTAGTCCCAGCTCCATCATGTCATCTGCCTGGGCATCTGCATAGATCGGTCCCTCTTTACAAATAAAATGATTTAGGCTTAACATGATCTGATGTTCACTACTGCATGTGACATACTCCCGAACTGTTTCTCTTACTAAAATATAAAGGCATTTTTGCACAATAACATTTTGTTGTTATTGCTGTTGTTATGTGACTTAAAACCGTTTCTGAGTTATGGGGACCCT